CAATTGCATTGATGGGGTGCTCCCAAGGTTCATATGTTCCTGGGGGCTCTTTGTCTGCTGCAAAAGATGCCATCTTGCTACTAAGACCCAAGGCTACTTTTTCTGTTGGTGCCTGCAGCGGTTTGAACAACAGAAAGGTCAAGTTAGGAGATGTGGTTGTTTCGGCAAAGCTGATAACACCTGCACGCCAAACTCCCTCCAGTAGAGAGTTTGGTAACCTGATGAAACACATAGTTGACGGGTGGAAGGCACCTTTAAAAAATGCTGATGAATATAATGCCAAAGTGCATTGTGACGGAGTGGTTCTGAGTATCTCAGAGGCAAGCAAGGACATGATTGGCCAACATCCTGAAGCAATTGCAGTTGAAATGGAAGGTGGAGGTGAGAATCATAACAATTAAAATCATTGATGAGCTCAGGATATTTGCACATGTAGCAAGTGTTTTGAAAAACACTGCTCTGGAATTGTCCCCTGGTGGTCCAAGAAATAGCACATAGTATATGGCATGCCAAACTTAAAGGAATTATGTAATGTGTATTTAAAGTGATTTTGTGTCAAGTTAAGGCAGGGTAGGACAATTTTTTTGCAGGCCAAGGTGACTGAGATGCCAAGTGTCTTTCTAGCTCATTAACAAATGGTAAACACCACAGCGTATACTATTGAGTTATGGATGCACACGGGAGGTTGCTAAGCACAAAAGAAACGTAAGAGTCGCACGAGGCAATAGCCGAGAGCGGCTCTAGCTTGTTGAGTGCTTAGCAAACCTCCCAAGTGCATCCATAACTCATTAGTGTACGCTGTGGTGTTTACCATTTGTTTTATAACATAACACCGATACCTTGTAGCAAAAGAGTTCCCTTTTATTTAAAAAATGTTACGTGACCAGAGTAAAACAAGCACGCGCGGAAAAATAGTCTATGCATTTGCTCACGTCAGCAGCGTACATCCATGGGCAAATGGAGAATGCTGAATTGACCAATCAGATTGCGCGCTTTGCTTTGGTTATGTTATAATTTCTCTTTATGGGAAAAGCATGTAGCTGACTAGTTGAACAGGATCTTTTTAATTACAAAGTAACCAACTGTACAATATTGCAGGATATTTTTACTCTATTTGCATGCTATTTGTACTCTACTTTGTGTGATAATGATTGCATGTATGAGGCCTGAGTTAAGGTTATTTTAGTAGTGTGTCCAATTTACTGATGCTTACTATATGAATTAAGTAATTTGCATAATTTTGTTCTGTTTGTTCTGGAAGTCTTCATCAATTCAACAATTAACATACCATATTGCATTAAAACATTGCAGTTATCACTGCACGTGTACCATAATTATTTGTGTTGAGGCGTTATAGTGTTAAGTTGCCTCAGGAATAACTTTTTGCAGACGAAGATGACTGAAATGCCTTTAGGGACTAAAAAAATTAAACAAAAAAACAAGAAAAATTAAAAATTGCATTGTTCTGATCATTTT